TTAGTGTATTAAAAATACCTAGAGACTGACTGAATGTAAATTTTGGGATTTTTTTAAATTAAAATTTGTTGAAGGTAATATGGAACAAAAATTTCAAAATTTTGTTTAAAATAATGTGATCAATGTATGTTATCTTTGTTTATTTGTATTTCATATTTTTATGATACTTTATTCAAGTGTGTGTCCAATGATGTCTTTTCTTTTTTTTGTTTTGTTTTGTTTTGTTTTGTTTTTTTTAATTATCCTAGTCACGTGAACTGGAAATTTCAGTTTATTGGCGTGATTGGCGATCTCTGTGTGCTGTAAAATTTCTGAGGTTAGAAGATTTTTTAGACAACCAACGGCATGGCATGTGTCTCTATTTGGAACCACAGGGTACTTTATTTGCAGAGGTAATAAATGTATTTTATTAAATGTGCATAACTGCAATTGAAATTTTGCATGTAGACAACATAGTATAGAAGTTGATAGAGTGTTAGGCTGGAATTCTTGATGCAGCCCTACCATTGAATAGGTATGTGACCTTGAGAAAGAGTTAGTTCTGTCTCAGTCTTGTTTTCTCATCTAGAAAATGATGAGTTGGACTACATTATGGTTAAGATTTCCCTAAGCTTTCAAATCTTACGAGTTTAGTGGATTTCATGAGCCGTAAATCCAATGCTATTTTCATGTCAATTTGAATTTTCTTCACTGCAGGTTACCTTTTTTAATCCAGTTATTGAAAGAAGACCAAAACTCCAAAGACAAAAGAAAATTTTTTCCAAACAGCAAGGTAATTACTAAAAATTAAATACAGAATAATTTTGGTGTTTTGTGAAATATAGAAAATACCATCATTTTTGAAATGACATCTATATGTGGTTTTTTTCCTCTTAATTCATTTATTTGTAACATTTTGTTAAACATTTCAAATACATCTTCAGTAGAAAGTTAGTACAGTGTACCATCATCCAACTTCAACGACTCGCTAGTTCTGTTTTACCTATATTCTGGTTTGCTCATCATTTTCTCACAGTATTTGAAGGAAACCCAGACATCATCAATTCATCCATAAATATTACAGTGTGTATCTCTGAAAGATAAGGATTCTTTAAAAATCTTAACCATATATATCCTTGCTATACTTAAGAAAATAAAAAGAACGACTGTTTTATTTTTAAACTGCTGTTTTGTACTAACTTGAATAGCAAATAGTTAAGAACTAGTTTTTTTACATGACAAATTTTGTTTGTTCTTCATAAATTATAAACTGATAAATGTGAATTTTTAAATTGTAGCTTTTGGTGATATATAAATAAATTGCTTATTCTATTTTCTTTATTCACAATATCTACAGGCAAAACATTTCTCAGAGCTCCTCAAATGAATATTAATATTGCCACTTGGGGAAGACTTGTGAGAAGAGCTATTCCTACAGTAAATCATTCTGGAACCTTCAGCCCTCAGGCTCCTGTGCCCACTACAGTGCCAGTGGTTGATGTTCGTATCCCTGAACTTGTACCGTCAGCTAGGTATGTGTCTGATGTTTAGGCACAAAATAGTTATTGCAACATTGTTTTATTTATATAATACAGGGGTTATATTAAAATTTTCAGTTTTTCTAAGTATTTCAAAGTAAATGTTCTGTTTGCTTGAAAAAAAAAGTTTGCTTTTGTTTTAGAGCTATTTAAAATGAATTTTTTATTACTGTTCTGGTGAATTGCTTTATCTTCTGTAAGTGATTCTACAGTAACCAAATTGGACTTTGATCTTGAACCCGAACCTCCCCCGGCCCCACCACGTGCTTCTTCCCTTGGAGACATAGATGAATCTTCTGAATTAAGAGTTTTGGATACACCTGGACAGGCAAGGCATTTAAAACCTTGTATAATTCCTTTTTACCAAATGATTTAGTAAAATTCATTGCCGTGAATAAAAATCCACTTTTCAATTAAAATCACCCTGTAAACTGTGTATATATTGTGACCCCTGACTTACAAACTGGATTGGTACCCAAGGGCTGCTTGTAACTAAGTCTGAGTTGTTGTGACAGCTGAGATCTGAACGTTTACCCTGTCATAGTATAGATAATGAGAGGCAGATGAGTCTTCGATTAACACAAGTTGTTTGTATGTCAGGCTGGTCCACTGTATATTTCTTATAAATGAAATGTTCTTATCTAAATTAGACCAGGTTGAGAGAAGATGACCAATTTCTTAGTGTTGTGCCATTAATAGCCTCTGGATGCTGACAGGCCGTAAGGATAGAGTAGTTTGCTTAAGCTAGAAGGATCATAAGAGAGCATGGCTAGTGTTAGATGTTGTGTTGACGCTGTTTTTGCATATGGTGCTGGAGATTGAATCCAGCTGGGGCCTCGTGCATGCTAGGCAAGTAGCCTAGAGCTGTGAAATATAGGCCCAGCTCCTAAAGCATTCTTTGTCATGTGTGTGTGTGTGTGTGTGTGTGTGTGTGTGTGTGTGTGTGGTACTGGGGATTGAACTCAGGACCTTACACTTCCCAGGCAGGCACAGCACCATTGAACTAAATCCCCAGCCCTCTTTATCTTATAAATTGCTTAACAATATGTATTGAAGATGATTGATGATATTGTATTAGTAGTTTGCGTTTTTAATATTAATATAAAATTAGTGTCCAAGAGACAGTGCTGAATTTTTTCTCTCATTTGTGATTATGAATCTGTGGTTTAATGAATGTTTAATATTTTACAGGATCCAAAAACTGTATTTGATGTTGAGAATGACAGAAACATTATACTCCCAAAATCTCAATCTGAATATGAATCTGATACTCCTGATTCAGGCCTGGGATATAGTGATACTCGAGAACTTGAAGATAGAAGGTAAAGACTATATATAGTATTTTACTACTACATTTTTGATGTTACATTTCTTGCTTTATTTGTAATTGAAATTACTATCTTCAGATCTCAGCAGAGATTTCAGTTCAATCTACAAGACTTCAGATGTTGTGCTGTCTTGGGTAGAGGACATTTTGGAAAGGTAATCTTTTGGAATTTTTTGGAATGCCTATAAATAATTCAAATAGGAAATAATTATTTTATTCTTATTTCAGGTGCTTTTGGCTGAATATAAACACACAAATGAGATGTTTGCTATAAAAGCTTTAAAGAAAGGAGACATTGTGGCTCGAGATGAAGTAGACAGGTTAGTTTTTAAAAAATGAAATTCTCTGAACTTTTTTTTTTCCATTGAGTTTATTGGTACTTTTTAAGTATACAGTGCAGTTACATTTATCATTGGGATCTTGTAACTTTACATGACAGATCTTGGTTCTCTGAACTTATAAATTAGAGTAATTCATATGTTGCAACAGCAGAACTTTCATTATATAAATTAGTGAATTTATACTTGGCAAAACATAAATAGTAATTAAATGCTGTTTTTCTTTCTAGCCATTTCCTTTATTTCCCTTCATTTGACCATTAACTGGTCTTTGGATACCAAGTAAAAATAGTGGAATATTTAATCTACTTTGTTAAGATTTTTATAACCAGCCCTGGTGCATATGCCTAAAATGCCATCTACTAGGGAGGCCGTGGGCAGGAAGGTGAGGGTCACAAGTTCAAAGCCAGTCTGGGTAACATGGCCAGACCCTTGTCTCAAAAAAAAAAAAAAGGTATTTTTATAAACAGATTTAAAATGTGCCAATAAAATTAATTTTAAAAAATAGAGATGTTAAAGTTTATTTAGAATACAAACTGTTACACATTTATGGTTTAGTAAGACTATATCCCATTTAATTTTACAGACTGGTAGAATGTCATTTCCAGATACTCTGCAGTTACCTGAATGATTAATATATTCTGCTCTATTTTTTAATCATATTTTTTGAAATAGTATATTACCTTTCTGAAGAGTTTAATATAAATTGTTGTGGATTCATATTTTCATATAACTAATAGAATATAAGTAATTTAGCAATAGATACTGTAATTAGGTTAGAGAATATAGTATAAAATGACTCTCAAATGTGTGAATTGTATACAAATGACATGTTTATCTTAGAGGCTTTAATTTGATATTTATTAGTATTTTTCTTTCACCACCAGGAAGCATCTAATGAAAAACAGCCTTATAAAATGAAAGGACCCCTAAACTATGAGACGAATGAGTTTTCTAGTTCTTCACTGAACATCTTTGAGCCTCAGTTAACCCGTGTATTAAATATATGTTTTGATAGCACTTGCCTTACTGAGTTAAATTGCTACTTTTAACGTTTTTTTTCCCACCATATAAATAGTGCTTAGAATTAGGACAAGCCTTAAAAGATTGAAGGTTTTTATTTATGTTTGAAAATGTTTTTCTTTGTGGATTTGCCTACTTATTTTTTTACCTTTTTTTAATTCTTACATTCTTTAGATACATGAAAATAAATGCTTTCTTGATATCTAGAAATACTCAGAGGATTTTTCTGACCTAAAATATTCTGAGCTTCATTTTACATATTTAGAAGTATGTTTTTATGCTCTATAAACAGGTTAAGCAAATCTTTGATCCAGTCCTGTTTATAATTGGCAATAACAAAGATCAAATGATTTTCTTTCCTAGAATAGTACCTTAATTGCTTTATTCTACATTTCTAAATGATAAATTTGTTTCCAAAAAACTTGGAAATTGGTTAGAGGGGTGAGTCTCCCTAATCTGAAATCCAAAATCCTCCAAATTTTTGAGCATAAATATCATATATTTACAAAAGTTTTTCATACACAAAACTATTTAAAATATTGTTAAAATGACTTCCAAATTAAGTATGTGAAGTATATATGCAACAAATTTATTTGGTGTTTAGAGTTGTTTCCCATCCCCAAAATATCTCATGTATACATAATACTACAAAATTTGAAACAGTTGTCGTACTTTACATAAGAAATAGTCATCTTGTACTACTGCTAATCCTGGTTGTTTATATAGCTTTCTGCTACATTATCAGTACTTTAAGCCTTGTTTTTGTAGGAAAACATTTCTAATTAAATCTTGACATTAAATAAAATTTAGAAACTGGAGCTTTAGCTAGAATGTAGGCCATTACCCCAACTGAAAATTAATCCAGCCTTAATGAATGACCCTTTTATTAACTTCAGTTTTAAGCCTCTGTATTTTTCAGTAACGTGGAAATAAATAATCTCAAGTAAATATGATATAAAATTGAAAAATGGAAAATTTTAGGAGTAAGAAATAAACCTCAGAAAAATTTGAGGAAGGTAGGGGAAAGGAAGATTGAGGAAGGTTAAGGAAGTGGGGTGGAAAACTTAATATCAAGTTTTTAGCATATCTGTGGAAGGGGAAAACAAGGAAAAAACTCAATTTAAAAAATAGACCAGCAAATATTTAAAATATGTATTACTTGCAAATATGAATAAGAAAAATATATCAAACTAAATTAATTAAAAATAAATAGAAAATTGCATGCTGCATAGATTGTAGGATATTCTTACTGAACCTCATTTTAAAGTATTTTATGTAGAGATCAGTCTGCCTACCGTTGGTTAAACACTGTCCAAGTTCCATCTCCTGCCATTTGCATTGCTGTAGTCTTCACTCAGCTTGCTGTCTTAACCAGTTTATATTCAACACTGCAGAATAGGGTTGAAAGTATATTTTGTATTCTAGAACAAAGCACAGCTCTGACCAAGATATGATTCAATTGTAAGACCTTAGCTTTATTAAGGACGCTGTTTTCCACTGACCAAAATATTTGTTTCTACCATATCTAATAATGTACTGAACTCTCGAGCAGAACTACTCAAATGAAATGGTCATTTAAGGAAACAAGAAATAGCTATATTAATTATGTAAATAAAATAGGCTACATATTATTTGAATTAAAAATAAGTAATAAAAACAATAGCAGCTCATAGAATGGAGGATATCATGGTGTACCAATGGATTTCAGTAGTGTTTTATAAGGAAGATTGGATATATGCTGTTCTTTGGCATATGGGAGATATGTTTACAATTTTGAATATCAAGGTTGGACTGTTGTGTGAACTTTTAAGGGAAGAGTACGCAATTTAGGTGACAAAAATCAAAGGTATTAACTCACTTTAAATTTTTCTAATTTCTAATTTTGTTTTATTTATTTTAATGTATTTTAATTTAATGTCTTAATTGGTAGTAACATTTTAAAACTTCTCAGATTAAAAAAAAAATAGGTAGGGGCCAGATATTTAGCTCAGTGGTTCCAGCACCTGCCTTGCAAGCACAACATCCCAAGTTCCATCCCAGTGTGACTTTTTGAGTATAAAACTGAAAACAGATTGTGTGAAATAGAGGGTAGGAGTTCATCTAGAATATGATGTTAAATTTAGTTTAAGCGCTGTCATAATAGCTGTGTTTATTGTATTTAAAACAACAGGTGTTTTAGTTCATAATCCAGTAGACAACTATATTAAAGCATTAAAAATGCCATACAGCAGATTTAATTCTTGCATGTTTTCTAAGTCTTTACTTTTTTTTCATATTGTTAGCAATGTGAGCTAGATACATACTTTGTTTTTTAAAATTAACTTTTTTTTTTTTTTTTTTTT